TGGGAGGGACCCAACAGGACCACCCACTATAGGCTGTCTGCAGAAAATTAACAGAACGGGGTGGAGACAAGACCAATCACCCTGCCACAGCGAGAGAGAGCAACAGTGGGCTGGTCTTTATTACAGAGAGGAAAATATAATTCTGAATTGCTGCACAGATCTGGAAGAAATACATGAAGTACACCAAGATTCATGGAAGAATACACATAACTCTTGTTTTTAGACAATATTGTGTTTTCCTGGAGTTCAGTTTTAAAACTACCTGTGGCTAATGAAGGCAAACCTTTGGATGGTTTTACTACACCAATTATGACACGCTGTGCTGATCAGTATCTGCTGCATGCACTCGACGTTGACAGGGGGTCCTCATGCTGAAAGAGAGGACAGTGCAAAGTGAGCAGCAACAATGCGGACTTATCATGCGTGCTGCTGCTCTTTCTTCGTTTCTAAACATCAGACTGTAGGACAGAAGGTGACACCGTGGTATACCTTAAATGATTACTAATTATCTAAACGTTTTTTCCTAGCTTTGGTACAGCAGGAAGGATTTAGAACAACTTTCAAGTTTTATTGTTGTGTATGCACTTGTTTGAGAGATTAACCTTTTTTATGTGTCCCTAGTGTCCATTATCATTAAAGTGGTAGTAAACTACATAAAAAAAACCTAAAAAAAACTTCTTGCAAGTTAAGGAGCATTACCCTATGCTAGTATGGCATCGCATACTAGTACAATTATGAAAAGACTTACCTTGAAAACAAAGCATTGGATCCAGCAGCGCACTGGACAATAGAGAACCTCACCATATACATGGAACCTATACCCACAGTTGACCCAGTGAAAGGCATAAAACCTATTGTAATGCCCTGTATGTTAGCTTGGTTTGTTGTTTTTTTTTAGATAGAGGCTGAGTAGCAGCCTGGGCATGAGTCAGCCTGGGAATGGAGGCAGGGTTCATCCTCAGGACAGGTTAGGGCCTCAGGACTGGTTCTACAGGTTAGGGCTTCTGTAGCCATCCAACACTTTCCTGTAAACTGGAGAACTTTCTGGAAGAGGGGTGGAGGAGGTGAGGAGGCCCAGATATGCATGTTTGAGGTACCCTGGCCAATCCCTAGCAGGAGATCTAGGCATGGTGACCAGGGCAACCGTCAAATACGACAGAGCCTAGGGAGCAAGGGGAGTTGGGTGGAAGATGCACTGAGAGGAAGGCTGGAGTGTAGCTGCCTGGGAGGGGGCCCCCAGGGAGGGGGGCTTAATACCTACAGACTGGTGGCTGGACAGGAGGATCTCCAATGCCCAAAGTCTTCCAAGGGGAGGACATCCTCAGCAGCAGGGAAGAAGCCAGCCCAGCCAAAGGCCTGAAAGACAGTTACTAACCCACCCACACTGACAGGAGCAGGACAATGTGAGTACACCTACACCCCCTGGGCCAGATAAGGGCGGTCAAGTACAATATCCAACCTAGTCTCATCTGGGACTGCTTAACTGCATGCTTCTGGAACCTCTTGCTCAGGGATTCCCTCAGTACAGCTGGTTGGAGAGAGAAGGATTCATCCAGGATCTGAGGGGGTACACCAAAGTTCTACAGTTCACTTGGGCATCCCATATACTCCTAGACCCATCCAAGTTGATAACTCTTTATAAAAAAACAACTTAAAACTCTGGGGCAGGGTAGTAGAAACTGGCCTAGTAGTAGACAAAGCATTTTGCACAATTCCCACCCTAGCACCCCTGGAGTTTGGGGCAGGGTCTGACTAGGACAATGGAAGGCCACAGATGCCAGGAAGATGAAACTATGGGCTTGAACTGGGGGGGTCAGGTAGCCGCAGAAGTGCAGTGATGAGGGCACCCCTGAGTTCACCAGACCAGGTGGGGGTAGAGAGGCAGAGCTGGGTCACAAACCAAGTTCGGTAACAGCTGGGTAGGAAGACGCCAAATTACAAGCAGGATGAGAGGTCAGAGATGAGCAGAAGAAGGCAATGTGCAGGCACTGTGGCACAGAATTGATAGATACGATACAGAATTGAGAATCTTGGTCTCAAGTCCAGGCCAAGTTGAACTAACACAGGTAGACAGCAGACATAAACTGGCAAGGGTAAACCAGAGGCATGTCAGAGGAAAGCTACGTCAATAACAGTTAAGCAGGGTATTCCAGATCAAGGATAACAGAGATACCAGCCGAAAAACTGTCCCTTATTGGACAGGGGAATGGAAGGTGGGCGAGTTGTGTAACGGGAGTGCATTGTAGGGGTCTATATTAAAAAAGGGTCGGACCTTACAGAGCTGATCTTTCATTTTTATGGTAGATATTGGAGAATTAAATGACGCTAACTGTTTTTGCACACCCTGGTGTGCCCATTATGGGGGTCATCTCCACTGCAGGATTTTTTAAAATTATTTTACATTATGGAGGAGAAGGTGAAACACAAAGGTGAGCACTAACAAGCAAAATTTCCTTGATCAAAAGGAAGAGCATGGAAATATGATCTCAATGTTGGAGTTTATACAAGATATTTTTATCAAGTACTAGGGGTCAGCTTAGCCCACCAGACCCTTTAACTGCTCACCACTTGATGTCTGTGTGTCTTACTGAATGTGTCTATTATCTTTAATATATATCCCAGTTCAGATGGTTGTTGTCAGGAATGGACTGGCCAGCAATGGTGGGACTCACCTGCCTTTTGATCTGCAGTACCAGGGCTGGCCAGCGGATGCTCAAAGCAATCAGAGACTCAACTTTGCAGCCAGCTAACACCTGGAACTGATTATGCTGGGTATTTAAGGGATGGCCAGACCCACAGACTCTGCCTTGTGTGTTGTGTTTTTTCCTGGGCCCTGTATCCTGTGGTCTGTCCTGCATCCTGTTTCTGAACCGCTGCTGACTTCCTCCTTCTTCTTGATCCCGGCTCGCTCTGAATCCATCCCCTGGCTTGTATTCCACTTGCTTTGCTAATCTGGGTTTCTTGATCCCTGGCTTGGGACCCCCTGGACCATCCCTTTTCTGCCTGACCCTCTGTACTACGCTGCTAGTGCTACCTGCTGAACCTGGGCCTGTGACCCCGACCAATCTCCGCTTGCTTCCCCCTGTACCTACCCTGCCCTATTGATATTGACCCGGCCTGCCTGACGACGCTTGGCTTGTATTTGTACTTGTTATCTGTGGGTGGGTTGGTTTCGGGTTTGGTTTGGTTGCACTGTATTAATGTTTTTAGTATTGCAACTTGCGTTTTTATGTTTGTATGTTAGTGTTAATAAAAATTATTATTGTTTATAACATATCCTGGGAGGTCTGCGTTTCCCTGCGTTTTTTTTTTCAGCCACACACCTCTGGTCACACCTGGGGAGCCCTGACCATTACACACCAAGGCCAATCCTGACCAGAAAGTGGCTGCACATGGGAAGCCATACCTTGCTTGCTTGTTGCTGGGAAAAGGGATGGATCTGGATGAGGTTGTGTATTTATATATATCTGCTAGTGTTTTGATGACAGGGAGTATGCTTATCAAACTCTGAAGGAGTATCCCAGGGATCAACTACTAGAATGTATACGCGGCTCGCTCATGTTCTAGTAGATCAGGGCACAGAGTTTCTCTGAGGTGCAGCCTTTGATTGAGGTTTTGTGCTGAGTTGGTTTTTTTTTTTCATCTGGTTTTGCCCCCGAATGCAGGGATGAATTTTTTTTGCCCACCATTTAGTGCAGGGGGGGACAAGGTAGAGTTCCCTGGTGTGGGGGGTTTAATTAAGAGGATTGTATGTGGGGTTACTTCTGGAGCGTTATTCCACACTTGTTCACCACAGACAAAAAAAAAAACCCTTAAAAGAGATTGTATAAACGCCGTGGCAGTCATTGACCAGAACTGGCCTTTGGTGGAAGCTCATCTTTGTTTCAACCCCTACTGCAGACATGGGACAGACTTGTTGCACCCCGCATTCAAGGCAGCTTACAAAGACACCCAGGCCTGCTGCTAACTCTAACTCCTGTATGCCCACCAGCTCCTCCAGTTAATACGCCCAGTAGACTTGGCTATCTACACGCATGTCAGTACCCCTGTTCCCCAAGTCGCTGCAGCCTATCCTGCCTTTAAATCCCTGTAAAAAAGCCCTCTGAGCAACTGCTCCCTCTCCTGTTACCATCCGCCAGTTTCTCTGTCCGCCAGCTGCTCCATATGGGTTTGCAGACCCTGCGTAATTTACTTGCAGTGCTCCAAGTAGTTAAAACCAAAAAAAGCGAAAATTCTTTCCAACCAATACCATCCTGCCAGTATCCAAACCGGTGATGCCTGGCCTTCCGTGACTCAGCGGCAAGCCAATACTCCAGCTGAAGCCCTCTCACTCGATGCTCTCCTTTGATGCCTCTCCTCACCAGACCTCGTCCTCAGCCGATGCCCTCTCCCAGCCAATGGAATGCAGTACTCCTGAGCCGGGGAACACGCCGAACCTGATGCCTCTTCTCAGCCTGAGCCGCTTCAGCATGATGAACGTAATCCAGCAACCCGTCGATCCAATTAGGCCAAGTTTGACTCGATGCCGCAATGTTGATCCAGATGATCCGGACCGATGCGATCCATTGCCCCGCTGTCGTGCCAATCTGACTCAGACCCCGCTGTCATAACCTGGTGACCCACCGGTGCCCCACACTGCCTTGCCAATGAACGCCGGTGCCCGCTGGCAAGCCAAGGGATGACCTGATGCCTGGTGACAAAAGTGCCCGCGGTCATACCTCCTGGTGACCCCCGATGCCCGCAGTCGAGCCAGACAATCCGATACCTGATGACCCGGTGCCCACTGTCGTTGCCTGTTGACTCGGAGCCCACTGTCTTGCCAGACGACTGGGGGTGCCCGCTGTTCGACCGCCAGACGACTCTGGTGCCCGCAGTCTTGCCAGGCGACTCGGTGCCCGCAGTCTTGCCAGACGACTCAGTGCCCCGCAGTCTTGCCAGACGACTCGGTGCCCGCAGTCTTGCCAGACGACTCGGTGCCCGCAGTCTTGCCAGAACGACTCGGTGCCCGCAGTTCCGACCAGTTGACTCGGTGCCCGCAGTTCTTGCCAGACGACTCGGTGCCCGCATCTGTTGCCAGACCGACTCGGTGCCCCACAGTCTTGCCAGAACGACTCGGTGCCACTGTCAGTGCTGCCTGTTGACCCTCGGTGCCCGCAACGCTTCGTTGGGGGCTCCGAGAACCATGTTGCCAGACCCCTGGGGGCCCGAGACCTGTCGCTCCAATCTGGGGGTCCGCGCCAGTTCCGCCGCTCCGACCTGAGGGCCCGCAGACCTGTGCCGACTGGGGGTCGGCGCCCGCCGCGCTCCGCCTGGGGGCCCGAGCCCCTGTAGCTCCGCCTGGGGGCCCGGCGCCCGCCGCCCCGCCTGGGGGCCCGATGCCCTGTCGCCCCGCCTGGGGGGCCCGATGCCCGTCGCCCCGCCTGGGGGCCCGAGGCCTGTCGCTCCATCTGGGGGTCCGGCGCCCGCGCTCCGCCTGAGGGCCCGAGACCTGTCGCTCCGTCTGGGGGTCCGGCGCCCCGCCCACGCTCCGCCTGAGGGCCCGAGACCTGTCGCTCCATCTGGGGGTCCGGCGCCCGCCGCTCCGCCTGGGCCCGAGACCTGTCGCTCCGCCTGGGGCCGGCGCCGGCGCCCGCCTGGGGGCCCGATGCCTGTCGCCAACCGCCTGGGGCCCGATGCCTGTCGCCCCGCCTGGGGGCCCGAGGCCTGTCGCTCCATCTGGGGGTCCGGCGCCCGCCGCTCCGCCTGAGGGCCCGAGACCTGTCGCTCCATCTGGGGGTCCGGCGCCCGCCGCTCCGCCTGAGGGCCCGAGACCTGTCGCTCCATCTGGGGGTCCGGCGCCCGCCGCTCCGCCTGAGGGCCCGAGACCTGTCGCTCCATCTGGGGGTCCGAAGCGCCCTGTCGCTCCGCCTGGGGGGCCCGAGAACCTGTCCGCTCCGCCTGGGGGCCCGACGCCTGTCGCTCCATCTGAAGGGGCCCGAGGTCCGGCGCCCATCTGGGTGGTTCTGGAGCATCCGCCCTGAGGGCCCGAGACCTGTCGCTCCATCTGGGGGTCCGCAGCGACCCGCCGCTCCGCCTTGGGGGTACGGAGGCCAATTTAAATATCCGCCCGGGGGCCCGAGGCCATGTAGCCCCGCCCGGGGGCCCGAGGCCCGCCGCCCCGCCCTGTAGGGAGGCCGAGGCCTGTCGCCCCGCCCGGGGGCCCGAGTGCCGTCGCCCCGCCCGGGGGCCCGGTGGCCCGTTGCCCCCGCACCCGAAATGGGGCCCCAGGGTGCCCGCCCGCTCCGCCGGTGGCCTGCTGCCTGCCGCTTCGCCTGGGTAGCCCGATGTGCCTCTGCCCGGAGTCCAGCCCGGTGTGCCTCTGCCCGGAGTCCAGGCCCGATGTGCCTCTGCCCGGAGTCCAGCCCGGTGTTGCCTCTGCCCGGTGTCCACCCGTGTTGTGTGTGCCTCTGCCCGGAGTCCTAGTCTCCGATGTGCCTTTGCCCGGTGTACCGCTGCCCGGTGTGCCGAGGTCTTTGATATCCCCGCCCAGTTACCAGACCCGGGCGGTGGAACATTTTTTCCCAGTAGGACTGTTTGGAGCGTCCTGAGGCCCGCTCCTTGAGGGGGGGGGGGGTACTGTCAGGAATGGACTGGCCAGCAATGGTGGGACTCTCCTGCCCTTTTGATCTGCAGTACCAGGGCTGGCCAGCGGATGCTCCACAGCAATCAGAGACTCAACTTTGCAGCCAGCTAACACCTGAAATGATTATTGCTGGGGTTATTTAAGGGATGGCCAGACCCACAGACTCTGCCTTGGTGTTGTGTTTGTCCTGGGACCCTGTATCCTGTTTCTGTCCCTGCATCCTGTTTCTGAACCGCTGCTGACTTCTCCTGCTCTGATCTCCTGGCCCTCGGCACAGACCCCTGTACCACATCCCTCTGCTTTGTGACCCTGACCCTCTCGGTACTGTTCTACGCTGCTTGCTACCTGCTGAAACCTGGCCTGGTGATCCTCACGACCAATCTCCGCCTTGCTCCCCCTGTACATACCTGCCCTATTGATATTGACACGACCTGCCTGACGACGCTTGCTTGTATGTACTGTTATGCTGTGTGGTGGTTGGGTATTGGTTTGGTTGTTTGCACTACTATTTATGTTTTAGATATTGCACTGCGTTTATGTTTGTAATTTTTAGATGTTAATAAATTATTATTGGTTTTAAAACAATATCTAGGTCTTGCGTTTCCCTGCGTTTCACCACAACCTCTGGTCACACCGGAGCCCTGACTTTTTTACAAAGACACAAAGCAGTGGATTTCCTTTGCAAAGTAAATCTGTCTGGCACAACAGATTGACCCTTCAATATGATGACAAACCATTTTTTCCAGCTCCAATACTGATCTGTACTTTGTGGTTAATGAGGATAAAATTGTTTAATTAAAAAAAACAAATACGATTCAGAAAGCTCACAGAAGCTGGACCTCAAGACAAAAGTATTTCAGTAGTAGATATTTTGATATTCAACATTGACGCTCTTGCGACAGCAGCATTACATTTGGTGCACACTGTTTTTCTATAAGTAAGGCAGTAAAAGAGGTTGAGTACTGGCCCTGAACCCCCCTGAAACATTATAACCGTTGCAACCATGGATCCTATGGCACTTGTTCCTCTGCTTCTGGTTTTTGGCCATACCTACTTAACCTCCCTGGCGGTATTCCCGAGTGTAGCTGGGGGTAAAAGTTTCAGTACCACAAGGGGTAACCCCGAGCTACACTCGGGCTACCATGCGGCGCTGCTCTGGGATCTGTTCTTCTCTTACCTTGCCCCTGCGCTCCCGCGATGTCCCTCCTGCAGTGTCCCCTGCAATGTCCTCTAGGGGAAAGCGGCATCTGTCCTTCGGGGTTCCGTCCCTGCGATGTCGGGACGTACGGGGACGGAACGCCGGAAATTTTGAAAATGACAAAAAGTGACATTCACTAAATTCACTAAAATCACATAGTAAAACATTACAGTATAAAAGCATTTCACATACATTTTGTCCCGAGTGCTTTGTCCTGTGCCCTGCCTGCATTTTTTACTGTTCTTTCTGTCTGGAAACTGAGAAACGCCCATTGCATCCAAAAGCGTCCCTTTAGGTCAAAATCGGTTTTAGCCCAGCTAGAGAACAGCGATAGTAAATCAGAACCACTTGCAGAATTGAGTGATAATGATTTAGGGGAAAATTCGTCATCAGACACTGAAAACGATTTTGCAACTTTTCTCAGTGATGTGCGAACTTGGCGCTATATTTCAAATTTCCCGTGTTTTTGGTTTGTTATATTATTAAAATTTAAATTTTTTTTATTTTATTATTATTTTTTTTGATTATTTTTTAAATTTATAATTTATTATTTCGTGTTTTTAAATTCTAACATACCAGGATGTTTTTCTGACCCCTTGTTTGGACAGATTTCGTGAGTTATTTTCTAAAAATTACAGGCCTACAATAAAAAAATACATATTTCCATGCAAAAAAATGTACCGCTTTGAGCACAGAAATATGGACATAATCAGACCGCTAGGGAGGTTAAGCTATGCTACTCTTCTAACATTAAAGGCTAATTCACCCTTCTAACCATATCACGTTACACCAAATTTAGGGTGTAACAAGAAACATGGTGCCTTCCACCCTCCACCCTAAAACCACAATTGGAATGGAAACTACAAGTCCCATCTCCCCAAGGGGCAGAGGGTTTGTGGTTCTCTTGTAGGCACAAGTGGGGACCACTCCCCTTCAAATTCCACTATTACTTCTGTCAGCTACAAACTGTTTTTCTAATCTTAAAGGGGACCGGAGCTGGGGGAATAGTCTAGACTTGTCTTTTTTGCACGCTGATGCATTGATTGGTTGCAAAGGTTTCGACTTAAATGCAAAAAGTAATCAATGCCATTTTTTATTTTGAAATTTGGGGTGCATTTTCTTTGTTTTAAACAATTCCTTTAAATGGACCTTTCAGCAACTTTACTTTAATGAGGTCACAATATGCAACTGAAAAAAAAAGGCTACCATTAAAAAGCAGCCCCCCGTTCCAGTGAAGTACTTTTTCCAAGGTGAGACAAATTTTCCCCAAGTCTACTGAAAAACAAGAGAAAACATTTCCTCAGTCTCCCTTTTCCCCAAATGATCGACTGCAACAGTAGAAGGGCTTGTGTAGAAAAAAATGGAGGATTATTAAAGGGGTACTTTAAAAAGGAACCCATCAAAATCTAAAAAAAATTTTAAAAATCAGCAGCAAAAAAAACTGTAAATGCGACTTTAAAAACAACACTCACTGTCGCGCCAGCGGGTGCCCGCTGCGCTGTGGCGCAATGCTGCACCTTTGAATGGTCCGTAGTCTTCTGGGGCCTGTCCCGTGTCCCCGAAGACTACAGGGAGGGAAGCCCCCTTTTCCCCTTTACTCACCTAGGCGATCGCCGAATGGGAGCGTTCTGTCAAAATCGGGTACCCCACCCCAAAGGGCCAATCCTTTCAGGGGGTGGAAATTGAAGCCTTAAACTGGAACTTCCCCTTTTAAATGGAGCTCTGTTTTAAGTACTTTTGGGTTTTAGGTTTAAGAAATTTTCTGATTCCATGTTCTTTTTTAAACCTGCACTTGATCTATACAAATTTTGGGGTCAAGAGTATAATAACAGAATACAGGGGTCGGGAGTGGGCCCATCAATGTAGGGTAAAATTGTGTCTACTGTACATATTGCGGGGGTCGGGGGTTTTTCCTGGCCTCCATTTATCAACCTTTTCCCCAAAATGTTTACCCAAAAAACCCTTAACAATAATCTCAGGCCTCTAAAAACCCATGCTAAAAAATTAATTGGACCATTGAAAAATGCCCCTTACATTGGGGGTTGGGAGAAAACACCATTCTTCAAAAGTAAAAGCCACGGTGTCATGCGCTGGCTCTGCCAAGAGAAAGGGCCCTTTGAACTATCAGCATCATTAAAGGGGAGGTCAATCAGCCACGCTGAAGGGCAACCCTAGCAACCCCGGGAGGACCACTAGGGTTCGACCAAACTTTGGAGGAAAAAAAAAGGGTTTAGAGCAGTGACCCAAATAGCGTCCCGGGGCCAGATGGGGCCCCTGTTTGATTTTACTATCCTTGGCATTACTCCCCACCACCACCCTGTCAGCAACAGTACAGCATAGTTCCGCCCCTAACACCGACAATGGGACACTATTCCCGCACTGACAAAAAAATAGGCACTAACCTCCACGGGCACCCGTAAAGGGGATTATTTCTTCCTACGCACCAACAGGGCACATTTTCTCCCCCGACACCAGTGAAGAGCAGGGGTTCCCCCCCTAAAACCCAAGAGGGGGATTGTTTCTGCATTGAAAACAGGGGCCTTTTTTTTTTATTTCTAGCCCATCAGGTCCCTGAAAATTTGAAGACAGAAACGGCCCTTTGTTTTGAACATTGGGGCCCTTGGTTTTGATTTGGTACAGGACCAGCCCTTTCCAAAATTTTGCCATG